CTGGAGCTGCTTGAACCTTGAACCAGGCCGTCCATCACAGTGAGCATCAGGTCTCCATCATGACTTCAGAAACACAGTGTCCGACTGTAGCTGTGAGCAGAGAGCTGCTGCAGCAGGAAACAGGAAACTATGTACCCAGCAGCCCCCTGGCTTTGGGCTCCACTACGGTCTGGGAGAGACACAAGAAGACCTCACTAGTGAGGACGTTCCCTCCAAACAGCTCCTGCTCTAAACTCTGACAGACAGTAACATGATGTGATGACCGGCCTGGTCTCCAAACACTGAGTCATGTGACACAGCAGCAGCCTGGAGGACGAGACAGACTGAATCCTGAAATTCCTCAGTCTAAGCTGTTATCTAAATATTTATTTACTCTTTCTATGTTTGTAACTTCTGCTTTTGAAATTTTTTGCGACCAAACAAAATGTTAGTTGTTCATGGTTCGTAAAGACAAATGCTTCATCAGCAAAACAAGAAGCAGCTAGTTTTTGCAGCATTTATAACTTCACAGTTTGAATCGTTACAGGTTTACTACCTAAGCAAAACAGGGAGGCTGTGGCTCAGTGGTAGAGCAGGCTGTCCTCTGATTGTAGGGTCAACAGTTCAATTCCCAGTCTCACCAGTCCACATGATGAAGTGTCCTTGTGTAAGACACTGAATCCCAGGTTGGTCCCTGTGGCCAGGTCAGCGCCTTGCATGGCAGCTCTGCTGTCATTGGTGTTTATGAATCTGTAAGGTTCCTCTGTCAAGGTAATGTAGAAAAAGTGCTGTACAAGCACAGTGTGTTTATAGTTTCTAAGTAAGACATGAATGTGATTAACTGACCTTGAATGTCTGAATAGTCTTTAATAACAAAGTGTTTCTTTGTCATATGCACAGTTAGGAAACGTGTTTCCCTGTACAATCAAATTCTTACTTTGCCGTCCACATGAATGTCACATCATTCTATTTTCTGTCCTTTCAGTGCAATGCAGTGAACATTATCTTTTTACACCTGGTCTTTCATTTACAGTAGGAAACACTGACAAGCTCTCTGTCGTCTCACTGACAGGCCTACTTTTCTCATGCCTGCAGAGTTACACTGCAACCACTTGGTGGCGCCATGTCCTGTTCCTTTTGGTTACTGATCATGTTTTCCTGGAGGTCATGGAGCTTAGAGAAGACTCTGATGCCAGCTCAGTCTACAGTTCTCTTATAGACATGGACCATGGCTCTAAACATGCTTTGAGAAATGTAATCAGCATCACCAGCGATAGCACTGTGGTGCTAACAGGAAAATCAGGTGGACTAACAGCCAGACTCATAAAGGACGTCCCTGACATCTAGCATGTCCACTGCCTTGCACACAGTCTTCAACGTGCAGTGAAAGATTCTCTTTAAATCTGTCTGCTTGCAATAATTTTGCAATTCTCATTGCAAAGTTGTACTCAGTCTATCACCAGGACAATGAATGTTGGATCACTGCAGGAAGCAGTGTCTGAGATAAACACAGGTTTTGAAGATTGGGCAGGTGTTTATCGTCTGCTGGGTTTCAAGCCCCTTCAGTGCAGTGAGAGCTGCTTGGGAAGGTTTTTCTGCCCTGTTGCATCATTTTAAAACAGCCAACAAGGACTCGTTATGCTCTGATGGCAAGAGAGAAATACAAAGGCCTAGGAAGAACCTGATAAACT